AAATATTGTTTTTCTATAAAAAAAAAAAAAAAAAAAAAAAAAAAAAAAAAAAACTCCAATTGCAATATGTAATTTTAATTGAGTGAATGCATTTAAGGAAGTATCTTTTTGCTTTCAACTAAATTGCTGCCCTTTTAACGACTTTATCCTCAGTGCGAAGACCGCAAAAACCAGTTCTCTTTTGCTCTTTTATGTCTCCACCCCCCTCTTTTTTCGAGTTGAAAATGACAGAAAAAAAAGTGACTCAGAAAAAAAGTAGCCTTTCATCAGATTAAACATCTTTCATTGAGATAATATTTGTATAAAAATGATGGAAATTTTTTTTTTTTTTTACAACAAATGGAAAAAGTTCTTAAAATGTAAATTACGGAAAAATAGTAAAATACCGATTGTATTTTATCATGTTAATTTATTTCTTGAAACGAAGTCTTTGTAAAGGACTAAATTAAAAGTTAAAGAAAACGCGCTGTTTTCAAAAAAAAAAAAACTCTAAAGAGTTTTCCTTTTATTTTTTTGTCGAGAAGATTTACGATTAAAATTTGGAAACAGACATTATTGTGTCTCAAGTTTACAACTCTTGATGCACTGCTGGATGAGAGAAAACGGAAAATAAAATTTAAAACCAGAAAAAAAAAATGAGAAGAAAGAAAGGAAAAAAACCATAAACAAAAGTATAGAGATTTTTCTCAATTTTTCTGCAATTTGAATGGATTGGTAAAAAAAAGAGGGACTTCAACGAACTGCAATTACTATTAGATTAGAAAAGTTACGTTTCTCTTTCCTGGTGGTAACTTTGATTTATTGTTATCATTATTTGTCGGGGGCTTTTTTTCTTGTAAAATGACACGAGCCAGTGTCAAAAATTTTCACGAGAAAATTCATCTCTGTTTATATATATATTTTGCATCTGGCAAACATGCATGTTCCTCGTAAAAGTTATGGTCATGTCACAGAGGTGGAAAACTCTTTCCAAAACTTTACTACAGCTTTCTGCCTGATTGTTAGAAACTGAATATAACATGCACCATGTTTTCACATATGATTACTCCTACATGAGAAAATATTTCTATACCATATAATTTTAATACTTTCGTTTATATATTTTATTTATACTTTATTTATACATATTTTTTTTCATAATTTCAAAAGAAATATTAATTAAAAAATTTTTAAAATAAATAAAATTTAAAAGATTTTAAAAAATTTGAAATTAAATTAAATAAATAATTTTAATTTGTTTAATAAATAATTGATTTAAAAAAAAACAATGTATTAAATTTGATAAAACTGTTAAATTAAGGAACTATAATAAATATCAGAAAGCTTAAGAAAATAAAACGTTTTTCACATATAGTAAATCGTGAAAATGTGCTTTATATGGGATAAAAGTAATTTTGCGCAAGAAAGATCCGCCAAGTGTCAGAAGCAGAGCGAAATTTAGAGCCGTTTAAAATCGTTTTTAACCCATGAAAGACAGTGACCGTCCAGTTGTGATGAAGAAAATTACAACTTCAGCTGAGAAATACGTCAGTTCATTCGAGACAAATGAAATTTGTCAAGAGATATAACCAACAAATTATTGCCCTGACTTTATATAAGAGTTTTCAAGAATAATATACAAAAACGTATTTTTAATTAGTTCAATTTTTCATTTAAAACTTAATATTTTATCAGAAAAATTCTCCGGTTAAATCTCAAGATTATAAATCTAAATTCAATTTAATGCGGACAACGTATTAAATTTCATATATCTTATCTTTAATAGAGTTATATAAGCAATTATGGAAAAACCATTTTCTATAATTAACCTGTTTTTCCTTAATTTACAAAAACGGAAAATTAGTTTTCCTCTTTTTAAAAACAAAAACTATTTTTTATTTTCAAATTATTTTTTACTTTAAGACATTCTAATTTTAAAATAAAATAAAATATTCTTAAATTTAAAAATACGCTTTTTCGTTGTTGAAAAAAGTGCTTTTATAAATGGTATTTAATTAAAAGCCAATTTCACTAGATTAACAGTAGTTAATACTCCTCCGGCTTTTTTTTTTTAAACGTATTTTTCAAAAGCTTCTCGGGCATCAATTACATTCTTTATAGGATATAAACAGCTCTTTTTCTTTTATCACATAAACCAAATATGACCGCGAGCTTCATGCGTTACACACTAACAATCATCAAATCTATTCTCTCTTCATTTATTTTTTCAATTTTTTTTATATCCCCATATTAAAAAAAAATTCTCATTCTAAAAAAATAATGAATCTATACATTCGAATAAATTTTTTCATATTGAAAATACGTTCACTTTTTTATCATTTTTATTCCACAAATTGAAATATTTTTCTACTACTCTTAATTAAAAAAAGTATAATTAAAGATATTTTAAAAGCTCACATATTCTTAATTTCAGAATAACATTTAATTAATATAATTATATTTCATATTCTTTATTATCATTTTTTTTTTAATTTTATCTTACGCTATTTTTTAAAAACTTTTTCTTATTTTTGTTGCGAAAATATTTCCAATACTATTTTTTTCACGATGACATAAAAAAAAATAATTTAAAAAAAAGCAATCAAATTTCCAATTAATAAATATTATACAAAAACTATACAATTTGTAAATATTGTTCTTAAAATTGGACTAATATTCAATATTTTTAATTGGATTTAATTTTTTTTTCTCTGATATTTTTATATTTTAAAATATATATTTCTTAACGCATTTTTCATGTTAACATTATTTTAGTTTTAAAAAATATTTCATATTGTCAAATTGCAATAAAACAAGTGCAAAAAAAAATATTCAACAAATTATTGAATATAGTTGATAGAGAATATTTTCAAATATTTTTACTCTTAAATTTAACATCGATATATTATTCTTAAAAATAAGTAAATATTACTTTAAATTCATGAAAATATTTTGAAATATTGAAATTACACATCATTATTTTCAATTTTTTCTGTTGCGAAATTTATAAACGGTTAGGTAAATAAAAATTTAGTCAAATATTCTCTTTTATGAAAATTTTAGTTAAATATAAGATATGCTACATTTTTTTGGAAATAAAAATTTAGTGGTTCTTAAAGAATTTGAATTTACTAATAATTTAGGTAGGTAAAGTTCACATCGATAACGATCATCGAATTTTAAAAACCAAACTACTGCATAAACACACCAAAAAATTACAAAAAACTACAAAAAAAAATACTTAACAAAAAAAAATAAGTTCAACCCCAAATTCATTAAAAAATCACACATAGTATAGTCCGAAACATTGACATTTTTCAAAAAAATTTAAATTTCATTACACACACGATTTTATTGCAAATTCTCGAACAAAAAACACCTAAAAATGTAGAAAAAAATTAACACCCCCATTGTCTGCCTAAGAAAAATTAAATTTTTTTGGAAAGTTTTTTATGATTTCGGATGCCTTTTCGGTGGTAATAGGGGTATTCCTCTACTTCTATCGGGCTATCAATTTTTTCTACACTTTCAGGTGTATTTTGTGCAAGAATTTGCAATAAAAACATCTGCCTAACAAAAATTGAATTTTTTTGGGACCTTTTTTATGATTTTGGATGCCTTTTTGGTGGTAATAGGAGTCTTCCTCTACTTGTATCGGGGTGTCAATTTTTTTCTACACTTTTCGGCGTATTTTGTGCAAGAAATTGCAATAAAATAGTCTGCCTAAGAAAAATTGAATTTTTTTGGGACCTTTTTATGATTTTGGATGCCTTTTTGGTGGTAATAAGGGTCTTCTTCTACTCGGATCAGGGTGTCAATTTTTTTCTACACTTTAAGGTGTATTTTGTGCGAGAAATTGCAATAAAATTGTATGTGTTGTGAAATTTAAATTTTTTTGAAAAATTCGAATTTAGTGGATTATACTAGCGGTTTTTTCTAATAAATTTGAGGTTGAAGTTAATGTTTTTGTTAAGTATAATATTTTTTTGAAGTTGTTTTTTAATTTTTTGTTGTGTTTATGCAGTATCTTGGTTTTTAAAATTTTGATAATCGTAATTGATGTAAACTTCACCGACCTAATCACAGAAAATTAAAAGGCATTAAAATAAGCTGCAACGCTTCTTATTTTAATCCAATTTTGCTTATTTTAATACATTTTGGTATTAAAATAAGCAAAATTGGATTAAAATAATAAGCGTTGCAGCATATTTTAATACCTTATAATTTTCTGGGATAATTTTTTATTTAAATAATTTCAATAACCAAAAATATTTATACTGAATTTTAGAATAATTCTCGATTGCAAAATAAAAGAAGTTAATAGAAAAATTAATAGAAAACTATTTTAATTTATTAATTTTAGATTAATTATTAAATTTTTAAGTATTTTATAATTTCTATTATATAATAATAATATTATTAGTATTTGTCCGAAACTGAAACTATGTATAAACAAATAAAAATAATTTTATTAATAACAATAATAATGTAATTTTTTGTTTTAAAAAAAATATAAAAAAAATTTAATTTTAAATTTAATATTTTTCTTAATGCATTTAACTTTTTTGCATAAGAAATTAAATTAATTGTTTCCCATTAAAAGCCAATCAACATTTAAACAATTCTACATAATTGCTATCATCTAAAATTAAGCTCAAAACGAGACTTCTTTTTTTTAAACAGGGATATAGTATATATATGTATAACAAAAGAACAACTTTGAAAACGGAATCGAGAAACTTTTCAGCTTTATTAAACTGAAAATACTTTCAATCCCTTTTCATTATTGATATTATTTTTATGATGAGAAAAACATTAATTTCCTGCATTTATATTTCAGTGTATGTGTGAGGAATTGTTTTGTTAAGCAGAACTGAATATAATGTATACACGTCTTGTACCGTTTTTCCAGTAGTAACTAAAATAACATTGTACAAGTTCTGATCGATTCCTATGTTTATATATATATATATATGACAATGAACACAATACTCGTATTCAAAATAGTTAATCATGCTTACCGACAACTTCGAGAAATAGAAATATACTAGTGGGTGGATGGGTGGATACTTGGCACTCGTACATTCCAGCATCCCTTTGTTGAACGTACTTGATTTGAAGGGTCCAATCTTCACTGTGATGAAAGTGAATCGCTTGAAAACGTTCGTCGCTCGCGTAAGTTGTCAAACCAACAGTTAGCAATTCGTGTGTCTTTTTTCTCTTAATCCAATTGACCTGGAAAAGAAATTTATTTTTTTTTTTATTAATTCTTCCAAAAATTTTAAACTCAAATATTTACAAAAAAAAATTATAGTATACAAGAGAAATAAATACTACTACTATTTTTAAAAAAATTTTTTAATTAAAAAATTCAATTTTCAATATTTTAGTTTTTGAATGCAATTTTTAAAAAAATTCACGTTTGTATCAAATATTTTCTATATATAATATTTATCCAATCATTGTTCAAAAAGAACAAAAAGAAATTTATATCGAAAAAGAATTCTCAAAAAAAAATCTAATTAACCTTAAAAAAAGATTTGTATGATTCAAGTGAATAAGATTCCTTTCAAGTGTTAACTAGAACAAACTCATTTGCAAATGAACCAAATATATAGCACTTTTTTTTATCAGTCGAAGAAAGTTCATGATAATATTCTCTTTTCAAGTTAAATAACTCAAAAATTCTCTTTTTTTTCTATCTATGTATTTTATAATAAAGGCTCTTATTTCTTTTGTGAATTAAAATTTTCTCTCTCTATTAAGAGAATAAAATTTTCGAATGATTCATACAAATTACGTTGCGCAATTTCAAGAGAGCTTAACTAGAGAGTGAGCCGTATGTATATATATATATATATATATATATACATATATGACGAAGGTTTGTATTCACTCATTCGCATATGGAATAATCACATGTATATAATCTCACAAATATGATCCTTTAATCCAAACGTACGTACACCTCGAGTTTGAAATAGAGAATGTCTTTCGAGCCAAAATTAAACCTTTCGGTCCGTTTACTATCTACTTTCAAATCTGACTTGAGCTCATGTACCATTGAATTTAGAATGTTTGAATAAAGCAAAAGTAGGACACGAGATTACTGGTCGAATTTTCCTTTAAAACAAAAAAAAATAATAATAAAATATTTTTTATTTCATATTCAAGCTTAATTTAAAAAAAAAATTTACCACAATTTTTTGTTTTAACGAGAGAAAATAAATTTTTAACAGATATAAATTCATTAGAATTATGGTTAAGTCGATTTGGGGTTCGATCCCCGCTTACGTCTTCCGCATTTTAAATCAAATATTCAGAAAAATTCCCGATAAATTGTATAATCTGCGGCACTTTTTTTTTATCGCGAAGAAAAATATAACAAAAAAAAAAATTCCAACAATTTTTTTTTTTTTCAATGATTATTATATTGATTAATTACGCTTCTTAAAATCCTTTTGTCTCTTTTCAGGTGAAATATCTACCCCTTTACAGAGTTACCATTTGTCAAACTTTAAACCCCATCTCTTTAACCTCCTCTTTTTCTACACATACACAGTCAAACAACCTCCCCTTGATCGATTTCTTGTCTGCTCTTCGCTTTGTCTCACGCCTTTCTAGTTTCTCGATGATTTTCTCTCTTTTTCCTCTCTCTCTCTCTCTCACTCTCTCCCTCTTCCTTACTTTTCGCTTTAACCTCCTCTTTTGACGTATTTGATGAAAATATCTTCACCGACCAAAAAAAAAAAAAAAAAAAGTTCAATATTTTTTCGTAAGTCTTCAATTTCATGATATAAAAAATTGAAGAGATTCCAATTCTTCGTTTTTTTTTTTTTTCACCAAATTGCTTTTTCCTTCACTTCACCAGGAATCTGCCTGTGTAGCACTATATTGATTGTGCAGCTTTCTCAAGTAGACAAAAAGCCATAATATACGCTAATTTTTATTCTATTTTACTGCTCTTCGCAAATATTTTAAAATACAAATTGAATACTAAAACCAAAAAAAAAAAAAAAAAAAAAAGAGGAGAGCAAAACAAACATACGCTCCCTCTCTAAAATTCTCGTTTACTTTTCGTTTGGAATTAGTTAAACTGACTAATGAATTAGAGCGTGAATTTATTAGCAAAATTTATGGAAAGATTTTTGATAAACTAATTTCTTGATAAAAAAACAAATATAAAAAAAAAATTATGAAATAAAAATTTGTTATTTTTTATTTATTTTGTTATTAAATTTTTTTATTATAAATACCAAAGAAAATTTGTAAGGCAAACATCTGTTTCAGAATGCAAAAAAATTACTTTTTTAATGTGACTAAAGTCCTGAATAAACAAAATCGGGCACACTGCTAATAAATTACAAATTTCACACTTTTTTGGAAAAAATAAATAATAACAAAAATTGATTCTTTTACATTAAAAAAAAACAAATTTATTTGATTGAAATAATCGATTACTTCAAAAAAAATTATCAAATAAATATTTACTTGAATCAAATAATTTTTATTTGAATCAATTATTCCGGTATTTAAAACAAATACCATTTTATTGACTCGTAATTATTTAATACAAATAAATATTTATTTGATAATAGTAAAGTAACCAAGTATTTGAATCAAATAAATTTTTTTTCAATTTAATTAAAATATTATATTTTTTAATCTAAAATGTTTATTCAATTTAAAATAAAAAAAAGAGTAAAAAAAATAACACTTGTATAGTTAGAAAAAAAGTAGTAAAAAATTACCACATCCAGAGAAATGTTTTATTTGAACCAAATATAATATATTTGAGTTAAATAAACGTATATTTGTCTCACAGCCATTTATTTGGCGTAAATAACATTTTTTAATTAAATCAAAATTAAAATTTTTTCTGAATCAAATAAATATTTATTTAAATCGAATAAAAGTCAATTTAAATCAAATAAAAATTTATTTGAATCAAATAAATATTTATTAGACTGTGAGACAAATATATCATTTCTCTGGGTGTATATTTTTTTGAGTATAAAAAAGATGTCTGGCTTAAAAAATAAATTTAAATTCCGATTCAAAAAAAAATGTCAACTAATTCAAATCTCGAAAGAATTAAATTACATTTAATTGATAAAATAAGTGTTTATACGTATCAAAAAAAAAAAAAAAAAAAAAAATTCGACACTCTAAAGGAGTAATAGAGTAATTGTAAACGTGTGATCGATAACGAAACTAAAAGACCGCATCAAATACGCCTGTGTACAATTGCAATTGCACACTTCTATTATCGTTATCGTAAATGTTGAGCATTTTTTGCTATGAGTAAGTAATCAAATTATTGCGCAAACGAGTAGAACGAATCGCCATTTATCTGTATCGTGGTTTCATATATGTATGTATATATATATATATATATATATATGTTTGAATAGTTCTTCGCTGCTGCCAAAAATAAAATAAAAAAATAGAAAAAAAAAACTGACTTCTCTTCTGCCATGAATGGGAAATTTTTTTGTTTTATTCTTTTCTATTCAATGATTTTATTTCGCATGCAGAAAAGGCTTTCAATTCGTTTTTCTCCAGTTTCTAGTATTCATTCTCCTGGCAACGTATGTTCTGTAAATTCAGTATATTTGGTTTGATTTTCTAAATTCCTTTGATTAAAGTGAAACTTGTCTTTCACAAATGAAATAGATGAAAACTTTTTTTTTTCGATTTACGTCAAACAAATTTTCCAACGAAAAAATAAAAAAATCGCTTTAATAATAAAACGCAATTTTTTTTTTTCATTTCAACAATTTTTGTCGTTTTCAAAATCAAATCCAAATAAAAAAAAAGGTTTCGGAAAAAGTCAATAATGACAGCAAAAATGATATTATTGAGAAAAAAAAAAAAAAGATAAAACATTCTTTTATTAAATATGTTTTTCATGGAAAATATTTTCATGTATTCTAAAATATTTCAATATTTCTCTCATGTTTGTTTTTTTTTGTCAAATAATTCCTCTTAATAATAATACATTAGTTGTATAATTAGAATATTGTTACACTTAATTAAACATAGAGTATGAATAATTAAGTACGTGAGTAGAGTTGTAAAATCCTTGATATTATTTCCATAATGTCAACGTCAAAATGTTACAATATCTAAAGTGAGGATCAAATTTGCGCGGAGCAACAATATTTAATCTAAATAACATCAGAGAGTATTGTTTTCAAAATTAATTTTTCCCCCAACGATTCATATCTCTCTCTCTCTCTCTCTCTCTCTGGGGTGATTAAATTTTTCAAATTTCATTTTCGCTCTTTTTTTGAAATTCAAAATTAAATTTTCTGGAATGTGAGATCGGCATTTAAATTACAGTATTCTCTCTCATACAAAATTGAGTCGTTATTACAAGGAATTATGAATATATACCCTTTTTCCCTCCATCACAATATCTCTTTGTTGTTGGTAAATTCAAATCATAAATTTTATTCTCTCTATCTTCTCAAATTACGCTTTCGAAAGGAGAGACCGAATTAATTTTCCTTCATAGCTCCAGGTAATTGCGTGCTGTTCTATATATATATATATATATATATATGTTGGTATTCATGTAGCATACTCAGGTACATAGTGTGTAAGCTATATCGGCTCTGAAGTGTTGTTATCTTTCTCATTCTGCCATAGGTGAAACTGATAAAATACGTGCTTGTCATTATTTTATACTTTTATTTTCCTTTTTTATTGTGATGAAACATATTTTTATTCAGCAATTATTATTTTATAAACGAAAAGTGATAAATTATAAAAGAAATATTTTAAATTAACTTAATAAAATTGTTTCGAATTTTCTTTTTTTTCTATTGTTTCGTGTATGACTTTATATTAAAAGAATCGAAAAAGTTTTCAAATTCTCTCCGATACGAACTTGAACATACAATGGAGCGCACAATGACTATATATATTTTTTTTTTTCAAAGTCAAAAATTTCCCCCTTTTCGAAAAATGTAAGCATGACTACAAGCTTTTGTGCTGTTACGTTTCTAATGTTCTCCAACAAGAAAAAAAAAATTTCGAGAGCTTTTTCACCCAACTTGGACAAAAAGAGCTTACGTGACGAAAAAACTTTTTCTAGATAACTTTTATTTTACCCTTATTGTTGTTGTCGTGTTATTGTGTGTAAAAACTGAATCTCTATTTCATGGGAACGAATATAAACCCGGAAGTTTCTTCAAAATAGAACCATTAAAAAAAAAAAATGGTTTCACTTCTTGTCAAAAAAAAAAGAAAATGATTTATCGTTCATTATTTATCTTCTTCGGTTATTGGTATTTATTTTTAGTTTTTCAAATTTTTTTTTTAATTTACTATCGTCTGCTTTTTTTTTTTTTTTTATTTATTAGTTTCCCTTTTTATTTGCATTAATCAATTTATAATATTTATATAATTGTTTTATCGGATTGTTGAAAATTCCCGACGCTATAACGTTTCATTTTATTCATCAAAAAAAAATTTTAATTTTCAACGATATTATATTTAAAACAAGAAAAAAAAAATCTCGTGAAAATATTTTCATGAAAATTCATATAACTGTTAATTTAAATTCTAAATATTAAATGTAGACGAAAAATATTGTTTTAAAAATAATAATTTCGTATATCTATAATCGATAATCAAATTTTCGAATTTTTAAATAAACTATCGTTTATTAAGAACAATGATCTTTTTCTCTCTTCTTTTTTTTTTTTTTTTTTTTTTTTGCTATTTTCACCCTCTGAATTTGTAAAATGGTATATAGTTATATGATTCGCGGATTTCGACGTGTTGCATATAAACGATATGATTTGGTAAATATGCAGGCAGTTTCCACCCTTTGCCCAGATATCGTTCACCTGTTATACGCAGTCGCTGAACTGATCTCCCTCGTACAATAATGCATTCAGATTCTGGGGCATGGAGAGAGTTTCACCAATACCGATACCACCGACCGACGCCACAATCCTGCCAGCTTCATATATATACTTTTTTTTCTGATTTAATTAATTAAAACGCAGATATAGCTCAAGAAATGTAAATCACAATATTTAGATGAACAAACTCGTTATACATATGTTGCAGAAAAATTTTTAATAATTGAAACATCAAAGAATATAACTTTGCTAAAAAAAAAAAAAATCATTACTAACTTGATTCCCGGAAATGTCATTAAAAAAATTATTACAACTTTTAGATGAAAAAAAAGAATCTCTTCTTAATAAAAAATAAACTAATTTTGTAAATAAATAAGTTACTTCAATATTGACATTCTCAAATGTAATTATTTTTACCCTCTGTTTGTGAATCTAATATATATATATATATATATATATATATATAATTTCCACATCTGAATATCGTTTCGAATTTAATTTTGTCCCCCCTCTCAGAAAAAGCTCCTGAGACTTTCAAGTCTTTTGGGAACGAACCAAACTTTTACAAATTAATTTATATACTCGGTAATAAACTAGTAAATCCCAGAATGAATCGACGCAATTACCTTAACGAATAACAATTAATTAAAGTGATTTATATATATATTGAATTTTCATTGAAATTTTTGTTTTTTCTATTTTATATGCTAAATTAATATTTTTTTTCCAACTATTAAAAAAAATTAATTAAAATCTGGATTTTTTTTTGACAATTGTAAATCGAGGTTCATGAATGATTTGTCTAAATATTTAAATTATGTCGATTTAACTGCGGCCTCGCACTATTCATTTACACCATATTGTATTTTCTTTTTTTACTACTTTTTTGTATTATAAAGGGTATTTTGTAAACCCGTGTATAACTAAATAAATAAATAAATAAAATAGACAAAAATAAAAAGTGGTTAATAATCCCAATTTTAATTTTATACTAAATTAATATTTTTTTTTCGAATTATTAAAAAAATAAATTAAAATAGAAAATCCACTTTATTTTTTAAATTAATTTTTTTTGCCGAATTATTAAAAAAAAAAAAAGAAACGAAATTAAAATAGACAAAATTAAAAAGTGATTAAAAATCCACTTTATTTTTATCAAAATTTTATTTTTTCCGAATTATTAAAAATTAGATCAAAAAAGTAGTTAAAAATCCACTTTATTTTTATAATTAATATTTCCCCCCCCCCCGAATTATTATTATTAAGAAAAAGAAATTAGAAAAAAAAGCTAATTAAAAACTCACCACTCCTTCGCCAATGTTGTGAACAACGCACGGTAACAAAGCAGTGGAGCCTGACTGAGATGAAATGACTGTGGAATTTTCAGTGCCGAAAGTCATCGGAAGAGTCGGCGCTAAATCAACGTCTAAGGGCTTAAGTGTACGATCTAACGAATTGGCGTTCATCCCGACTACTTCGGCCGTAACTGCAGAGGGATAGTCTGAAAAAAGAAGATGTTACATAAAAAAGTCGTTACTCCACGAACCTGGCTTTCATGATGGGAGAGCATAAAACCAAAAGTATGTCAATTGTCGTTTAAAAAAATAATAAAAAAAAAAAAAAAAAAAAAAACCCTTCCCCACCGTTGTCTTTACTTGAGCATTTTACCTTACAAATATTTGCACATTACTCGTTTCGTTGTGGGTGGAAAAAAAAATTTTTCAATCACAGGAACTCTGAATATTCATGGTAAACTGCTTCTGAATCCTCCTATTGTTTGAAAAGTGACTAAAAAAAATAAAAAAAAAAAAAAAAAAACTGAATGGAAGATGAGTAAAAATATCAGCAAACAATGAGTGAAAATTTATGAGTAAAGAGAATAGTAAAAAAAATAACAGCGCAAATAAGAGTAAAAATAATAAGAGTAAAGATAAGAATTAAAAAAAAGAGTAAAAATAAGAGTTAAAATAGGATAAAAAAAAAGAAATCATAAAAGTAAAAAAATTTTTTAAAAAAAGTGAATCATATGCCAATGAGAGGGAAATTTTTTTGAATTTTAATTACAAATGTTTTAATCTAATGAACGATTTTTGCATTTCTTTTTAGTTTCTCACTTTTTTATACTTGAATGTCTATTAGCATATTTTTCATAAAGATTATTCTTCAGTTAATAATATATGCAGCTTTGAAAAATTGAAAAAAAAAAATTTTCAAACTATTTAAAAAATGTTAATAATGTTCAATATAATGAAATCATAAATTTTCCAAGCAAAAAAAAAAAAAAATTTGGAATGAGCACAAGAATTTTTCTCGGTAAAAAAAATATTGTGACAATAAATTCAAAAAATTTTACTTCAATTGAGATATTTTTTTTTCCTTTCTAAAATGAAATTTTTTTCTTTTTTTGAATGTTTTGTTGAAATGAAAAATTTTTCAATTTAAATTCAGTCAACCAAAAAATATTTGATAATTGCTTCTATATAAAATTCTGAAAAATTCCTCTATTTTTCCTCTAATTGGCATTTTCAGTTTACTCAAACTAAAAAAATATACCTTCAAATGACGATTCTAAAAGTTTTTTCTAAATTTTCTTTTTAAAAATAAAAATTAGTTTTAATTTCTCTGAAATATTATTTCTATAAAACAAACTCAAAATTAGAAATAGAAAAAAGAAAAATTCTTTTTTCCATCCACACAGAAACATTTTTCAAAAACTGATAAATTTGAAAAATTTGCAAATTTTTATGACATAAAAAAATGAAGTTTAAAAAAAAATATTAATGGATTTATCATGTTTTGAAAAATTGCTCCTCGATTGAATAATATGCAAATTTAAAAAAAAAAAAAAAAAAAGGCAAATTGTGCAAGATACTCATAAAATGCATAAATAATTTATTTTATAATGAATGAATTGGAGCAAAAGAAAAAAAAATATATATATATATATTTGGAATTTATTTAAACACTACAATTTTCCATTTCAATAGAAATATTAAAGAATTTTATTTGCTAAGCACATGTACATGATTGAGAAAGCAAGAAATTGGAAAATTCCTTCCATTCGCGATCTGACAGGCTTTTGAAAATGAAATCAGTGTGGAAGTTTTCAGCTCTGCGAAGAGTAAAATTGATTTCCGTTGAATAAAGTCTAATATTCGATATAGAACGCGCTCTTTCATCTCTGGTTAGTTTATCTTTTCAACAAACCACAAACTGTTTGTATGTATGTGTGTGTGTGTATGGTCTCTCATTATTATTATTTTTTATCTCGTTATTTGTTTTTTCAATTTTTCTTTAATATAATTATAAGCGTATATCATGTTATAAATTATTTATTTTTAATTTATACCTTTTAATTATTATTTCAATGAATTATTTATGGGAAAATAATAACTTGCTAAAAGATAATTTCAACTCAACATGTACATATTGTGTGTATATATATATATATAAATATGTCATAAATTCAAATTAATTGCAGCTCATTTCACGTTCTATTAACATTCATAGAGTGGACAAACGGTTATTGATTTGTTTCACCTTTCAGTGCGGCACTTGTTTACGGTTATATAATTCTTTACTCAACCAGGCATTTCTTTATTTAATTAAAAAACATGAAAACAAGTATGTTAGGTTCACACTTTGTGGTTTTAAATATATATTTACATGTACGAAGTATTATACCTATATATGTAAAACGTGAGAAAATCTCACTCTATTTTTCACTTTTTTCCCCTTGCCATTCTAATGTATGAAAAAGTTTTTTTTTTTTTATGAAAAAAAAAGAATTAAAAATTCATTTTTTTAACAGTTTGCAGTTTGTTGAAAGTTAGTGAAACAGCGTCCGCGCACTTTCAATGTTTAAATCAACTTTAAAGATAACTTTAAAATTTCCATACAGCTTTCATAAAGTTTCTGCGGTCAAAATTAACAAAAATAAAATTTTTTTTTTTTGGGGGGGGGAAACAAATTAAAATCTTATATCTCAAGCAAAATTATTGTTTCTCGACCAAAAAAAAAGGTGGAAAAAACAAATTCTTTAAAATTTTCTGTACAATTTTCCATAATTCCTATAATTTCATTAAGTTATTATTTGAAAAATTTGATATTATATGCATATTATACACAATACATATATATATATATATATATATATATATATATATATATATTAAATACACATTCCATAAATTAATTGAATATTTCACTGGGTCACTTATACATATCGGTATTCAATAATGAATTGTCTGTCTGTATGCAATTAATTTAATTTATTATTATTGAAGCTTCTGAGAAATATAATAATTATTAATAAATTGTAAATTTATCATTCCTAATAGAATTCAAAACAAATATATTTATTTATTAGAAAAACAAATATTGTAAGTAATATAAAACACCTAAGATGTGCATTTAATTAATAAATTAATGAAAAGCATTTCAAAAAAAAGTGCAATAATTATTTTTATAAATTTTCATTTATAAAAATTAATTTCAAATAGAAATATTCCAAAAATGCAATATAATAAACAAACATGAAAATTTTATTTTCTTTTATTTCCCGTATATATTCGAAATATTTATATATTACATTTTTTTTTTATCGGAAATTCTTTCACCGCTTGATATAGAAACACCATTCGTAACATATGTTTCAGAAAAGTGATAAAATTGAGCAGAAATAAATAGCTCTCCTCAAAAATAGATGCTTATCGAACAAGGAAACAAGTATATAAAAAGAAAAAAGAATATAAAAAAAATCTATAATAAACTATTTTTATTATCATCTAAAAGAGAGAACTGAAACACATTGAAAAATTCTTGGACAGAGTATAAATATTATTATTATTATTATTATTATTATCAAAATTATTATTTGTTTTCTCTAATTGTTATTTGATGAAAAGTCAGCAAACAATATGAAATACAAGTATCTTTTTATTATATATAACTTTTTTAATTTAATTTCGTAGAGGAAATGTTAAAAGCAACCAACTAAAAATAATACATATATATATATATATAGTTCTAATTTAACTAATTAGTGGATATTTTTATCAATCTTAATTAGTATCTCACTTTTTAGAAATTCTGGATATAAATTCAGATTTCAACTATAAATATATTCGTACCAATCAGAAATCACTTCTCATTAGTAAAGAATTTTCATTGAAATCAATGGAATTTGACAATTTCCCTATATGTAATTCAGTAATTAATTGAAATCTACTTATTGTCAATTAGAATTTATAATAATCCTGAAGTTAATTTGCAAATTTTGATTCTTATTTAAAACAAATTTTTCAATTTTTAAAAATTATTATTTTAGAAAATTCTGGGACAAGTAAAAATATTGATAAAATAAATTTATGAAAACTAATTAACTACTATTTCAAAAACTATAAGCTATAGATTTAAGTCTAGGTACTTTCAAGGAAAACTATAACTACTCTAAATATCAAATTAATTAATTTGCAAAATTTATCTCTTTTCTTTATTGAAAAAAAAAAAATAAGAACATTTTCAAATGATAAAATTCAATTATAAAGTTCACTGAAAAAAATAAGACAATTTATTGATTTCAGTTGGAAAAATTCAGCTTCTAGAATTTTATTTTTGTATAACTACTACTTTTAGAAATAAAATTCTAGAAATAAAAATTAAATTGCTTTTAATTCGAATTGATTTTTGTCATATATTTAAATTTTTTTTTCTTTTTTTAATTTAACAAATGATTTTTCAATAAAAATTGCATAAATTTTTGAATTGCAAACCTTTCAAGAAGAAGAAAAAAAAACAGTTCTATTTAATAAAAATAAATCACTAGTGACTTTTCCTGATTTGATTCAAAAAACACAAGGTTTCTTTCTTTCAATGGGATGTCTAATAAAAAGCACTACTCTCCCTCTTTCTCCCTCCCTCCCTCCCTCCCTCCCCCCCCCCTCTCTCTCTCTCTCTCTCTCTCTCTCTCTCTCTCTCTCTCTCTCTCTCTCTCTCTCTCTCTCTCTCTCTCTCTCTCTCTCTCTATATATATATATATATATATATATATATATATATATATATATATATATATATATATATATATATATATATATATATATATATATATATATATATATATATATATATAGACAAAACGTATCAAAATGGGCCAGAAAAGTGATCAACCTGAAATCCTTTTTACTATTATACTAAAACTAGATACATCTGATTTCCATATCCTCAAATAAAGAAGGATAAACAGTATTTCCACAATCATTCGGATAAAACAGAATAGACATTTTTATCTCTTATCCAAGAATAAAGTATATGATACCGATTGAAACAAGAGAGAGGGGAAAAAAGGGAAAAACAAAACCCCCTCTATAAAATGTACCATTTTTCTTGATGTTCTCTATATTTTGTATAAGACTCGCAGTACATTAGCCTGTACCATTAATAATCATAAAAGACTATATAAAGGAGTAAAGAGAGAGAGAGAGAGAGAGAGAGAGAGAGAGAGAAGTGAAGAGAACGGAAGGAAGGAAGGAAGACAAAAACTTTTTCGTTGTGTATATATGAGAGAGAGAGAGAAACGTAAGCCAACTTTTTTCTATTTCGGAAAGTAGAGTCTCTCTTTAAATTCTTACTGACAGTTTGTTCCGTTTAAATGGAATTATATCGCTCAGGGTTCTCTCTCACGTTTTCGCGCACAGGGAGTGGCAAGAAGACCTTTTCACTCCTCTAATACCCAAAGTGTCTTGACTCGCCTGGGGCATCAGAAAAGCTTAGAGATGTCTCACCGAGAGAGAGAGAGAGAAACATCTCCTCTCTTTACTCTTCGCAAAAGTAGATATTTTCCAGCGCTGAATTTATCAGTAATATTCTTTTTTTTTTTGATAAAAATCCGACCGCAGCTCCATCTATTTCACTAAATATAGCATCGAGTTCCGCCTCTATATCTTCTATCAATTCTCTAATTCATTGTCGGATCAAAGAAGAGCACATAATTCATTTTAATTACCTCAGCTATGTGCTCTTTTTTGATCCAGCAGCTCAATATAGGCTAAATAATCTAAACTATAATAAAAAAAAGAAATAAAATTAAATCTATTTTCTACATCTAGAGACAAATGGAGAAAATTTATATGTGAAAAACTCACCAGTTCTCACAAGTACGTGAAGTAGAAGAGACAGTATAACAGCCGTGGCACGATATCCATGTATAATGATCATCAGCCATTGAGATATGTTAAAGCCAGCCTGCCACAAACTCGGCGCCTCAAGCACCATTTTTCTCCCCCCCCTCTAGCCTATTTTAGAATCGTCTTTCCACTCTCCTGATCCTCCTCCTCCACTTTCTGAATTCTCCCTCATTCGCGACCTGAATTTTGCAAATCTCACTTCCCAACTTTATCAAGTTCACTGCTTCTCAAGTTCTTCTTCTTCGACGAGGGACAACAATACTCCTCCCATCCCCCCCTTCCAACTCTTGGCCTGCATCAACTTGTATATCCTATATACAATCTCCTTGTGAAGGAAAGGGGGTTTCAAATATTGTTCACAAGTTCACGAGATATTGCACGAAACCTTTGTAGAATGTATCTCTCTCTCTCTCTCTCTATATATATATATATATATATATATATATAACGATCCTACTTCAATATAACGGGCTTTTCACCTCTCTTTGTGATACTCAGTTCGCGCAATCATTGCTTTTGAGGGAAATCTCCCGAGAAGTCATCTGTCATATCATTCATTTCCTAAGGGCCTAAAAGGAGATTACCAAATGATTTGTTGACCCTTTTTCATAAATATATACCAAGGGGGAGGTAAAGAAAAAAAATAAATTTCCCTTGATCATTATTACAACTTGCCCTCTGTTTATTGCTATACACATGGAAAAAAAATCCAGAAAAAAAAATAGTGCGAATTAGTTTCACATAGGGGATGAAACAAGTTTTATTGTGTCTAGCGAAGAAAAATGTTCTATGCGAGAGGTGGTTTCTTTAATGGGGGAATTAATTTTTAAACAACTTGAAAGATGCTTCCGATTTAGAAACATTGGCTTTTAAAGTAAATTTATTTGAAAGAGACCTTTTAAGGAGAAAAAAAAAAAACAAATTCAAAGTGCTTTTTCAATTTTTGCAAAAAAATACTCCCCTTATTTATTTACGCACTATATGCGCTCTTCCCTTTTAATATATCTCTTGTTGGAGGAAATAATTTGTACTCACAAAAATTTAAAAGACACTAATTATCACACCAAGTGCATATACTTTTTTACCACATATACACACACACACACACACACACACACGTTTATATTTAATTTCACCATTCACGCTATATCCTTCAGCTACGGCAATTAAAATTAAATGAAATTCATTAGAAGCTCGTAGAGATTAAGGGGATATACATTTCAAAAAAAGAAAAGGGTTTACACAAAGAAATTTACTAGACTGTTAATATAAAAAAAATAAAAGTTCCACATCTCGAGAACCCTTCAATATTGAATTTTTATAGAAATAGATTTTAAATCCGTATTTAATGTTTAAAAAAAAACTAGAAATTCCTCTTTATTTGAATTAGTGGGAATTCGTTAACTAATTCAAATTAGTAGAAATCCACTAATTTTTAGTAAAAAAAAAAAAACTAGTAATATTTTTTACCAAAGTTTTAGTGAAAACACAGAAAATTATAAGGTATTAAAATATGCTGCAACGCTTATTTTAATGCCTTTTAATTTTCTGTGAAATGACTAAAAATTAATTCCAAAAAAAAGTTAGTCACTAATGTAATTTAGTTAAAATTTTTACTAATTCAGAATTAGATTTAGAAATTCAATTTATTTACTCTTCTCTCTAAATTTAAATTAGTGAAAAGTAAGCTTCTAATTTAAATTAGTAAGAATTTTTACTAATTTTTAATCACTTTTCACTAAAACTGTAGTAAAAAAATTTTAAACTATACTAAATAAAATAGTAATATTTTACTAAAAATTAGTAAAAATTCTTACTAATGTAAATTAGTAGTTTTTACTAATACAAATTTAAAGAGCAATGTTCAAGGAATTAAAAATTAATTCATAGCAAAAAGTCAGATAATTTAAAATTTTAACTAGGTCAGATTCCAACGTATTTTCATATTAATGTCATATTGATTAATGATTTAAATATATATTTCAGAATTGTCATTACAAGTTCCAACTCATTCACATCGTACACACAATTTAAATTTTAGTTTTTCTACTTTCTTTATAAAAATATTTTTCAATGGATTAACATGTCGAACAAACAAAAAAAAAGGGGGTTAAAAGAAATTTCCATGTTTTTTAAAATCCTTTCTAAAGTTAGTGATGCATACATTATGCGTTCCCACTGTAGCAAAGAGGTTGAGCGAAAGAGAGAGAAAGAGAGAGAGAAAGTCTTATTGAACACCGAAGACGCTTTATAAAGTCTTTGGAAAGTTCATACACCTGTTCCTTCTTTTTTTTTTTTTTTTTTTGCCCTCTTTTCTTTTCATAAAAACTCGGTAAGATTTACACAAAACTTGAAAAAATTTTATCCGTAAAAAAAAGTATTTTTACTCTTCATTTTAAAATGAAGTTAAAGAATTTTTGTCTCTCTTTCTCTTAAGAGGGGAAAATATCCGCCACAAGCTTCAACAGCCGTAAAACTGCAAAATGGCCAATAAGGACTCTCCAGTTACTGAACTGTCACCAATAAACGAACGCATAAAGATTTTAGAATCCCAGCTTGTTTCAACTTACAATGTTTTATGAGATCCACTTCTGACTTTATTTTTCTTTAGTTACTCAAATTGATTTCCAGAATATTTTACAACTGCTATCTCGCAAAATCGAAATCAAGAGAAAAAAGATAATCCAATTTCATTTCATTAATTTAATTTTAAATCATTGAAATTGTAAAAAAAAAAATGTTATTTACAAATTTTTAGTTTTTAGAAAATTATAAATTGAATCAAATTAAATACAAAAAAACAAATTTATCAGAATTTGTCACAAATATATAAGTCAATTAATAAATTGCACTAATATTTAAATAAATTGTCGATATTCACAATATTAATTAAATAACATTCAATTTGAATTCCATTTTAAATTATAATTAATCAAAAACCACGATTTATTAAAATGCTCACAATCAAAGTCTACTAAATAACGTTTCACTTGTAATAGTAAATTCTCCATCGTTCGATATAACGAAAATTATGTTTGAATTTACTTCAAAGTTCCTGTTAAAATTAAATTCAGTTTATCAAAAGATAAAATTCAATATATTAAAAAATTTATCAGTTTTGAACAATTTGCAAAACAATTTTATAAAATTTATTATAAAAAAAAAATTTATATTCTGAAAATCATTCAAGTGAAAAAAAAAGAAAAAAAAAAGTTTCCTATTCCCATTTTTGAAATTAACTTTACTAGAACAGGCTCGTTTACATCAGAGTGAGACACACAATAAATTCGCCAGACATTTGTTTGCGACATTTCCCCAGGATCTACGCTGAGTATTTTGAATTTTGATTGTATTACAATATGCCTTGGAAAGGATGTTGAAATTGTAGAACCCATCCAGGGGCATAAAATGGTAATACAAGTTGGAAATTGTAAATTCAATTCTCTAACAAAGTGCTAGTATACATTCAACAATTCTTACACTCTTCAATCTGATTATATTTAAACAAAATTGAATTTCAAAGTTTCTTAAATCTTACACTAGTGTACTTATATACTTTGAAAACTTTTTTATAAAAACCGATTAAAAATCATTTCAAGTTGTCAAATTTTTATTGCGCGTGCAAAAAAATAAAAAAAAAAGTAGTTTTCATCAAAAATTCATCTGTAATTTAATTTCCCCCTTTTTTTCACTATAAAAGAAAGCAATGACTTTTTACACTCAATTTGATCTGATTTCATGCGAGTGTTTAAATTAAATGAAATTTATACACTTGAATTTCTTTAGTAGATTCGGGACACTCACACATATACACAAGGGAGAGAAATTATGCCGTAGAGCCAGACGGACTGTTATTACTTGGTCCTTATTCATCGCCTTGTGAAAATAACGACCAAGAGATAGAATGATTCGTCCGTAAAAGCTTTTACACTCGGATCCTGTCACATATATCACTGAATGTGACAACTCTTCCTTGGCACAACTTTGGGAATTACATGCTTCGGACAATAATTTGTTACCCTCGCAACATTTTTTTTTCCTCTCCTATTATATGATACAATAAAAAAAAAAGAAACGAAAGAGAGAAAAAAAAGAAAACGCACTCAAAAAAAAAAAAAAAAAATAAGTGACTATATAAAATTTACCACGTTAATAGATATATAAAATAATAAATCCAAGACATAATGTTCCAAGACGACTTTTATATAAAACCGAATAAGTACCCAAAAAAAAAATTATGGTAAACTAAATTGACACAAAATTAACATTTACCAATTTTTTTGAATAAGGATAATTTATCACTTTTAGTCATTGGTCAAAATTACCAATCGTCTTTTCATGTCTCAATTTTATAACTATATGAGAAAATTCATTGATCTGTCTTTTTTAAAAAAAAAGAAATTCTTTTGAAAAATGCGTTTAAAAAATGCGATAAAAAAATTTAATAAAATAATTACATAAAGAAAATAAATGAAGAAATTACAAAACAAAATTTAATAAAGAAATTAAAAAACAAAATTTAATAAAGAATTTAAATAACAAAATTTAATAACAATAATTTAATAAAAATAAAAATTTTAAATACAAAAATTATTCACATCAAAACAAGAAAGTTAAAATGGAGATTACTTTTATTTAAAAAAAAAATAATAATCAGTTACGTATAATACTTTACTTTTAATTAAAAATAAAATTCATTTCCTATAAAAGACAATTACCGACAAAAATATAAAATAAATTAAATTTTATTTTATAACATTCTGTATTAAATTACAATTTCCTTTTTAAAAAAAAAAAATTAAAGAATAGTTCATTTATTACATTTTTCTGTGAATAATATACTAGAATTTTATTTTATTGATTTGTCATACTCAAAGTATTATAAAGTCACAATATAATACACATTAATTAATCTATAGAACCGATATCGTATATTATATAGATTTCCAGGACATTTAATATTCCTTTAATCCGGACATTATATTTTCTGGCAATAATACCCGTTGACACAAAACTCATTTAAATAACTTTAAATTTTCCTTTTGTATATACATATATATAATATATATATATAAATATATATATATATATATATTATATAGTTATAAATTAATAAAACTTTTTAATTGACAACAAGCCATATATTTTTCCAACGATGAATAAGCAAAATAAACTTTTAGAAATTAAACTCATTTTAAGTTTTAATTTAAGACAATTGAAATTCATACATGTATTAATGCAGTTAAAATTATTTCCAACTTTCATATATTTAAAATAAATCCAAAAATTAATAAATTAAATTTCAGTGTTTTTCACTAACAAATATAATAATTTCTCTATGTAGCTATGAGTATTATTTAATAATATATCAAATTAATCTCATAAATTAATTAAAGAAGAATAAATAAATTTTCCATTTTCATAAAATAATGAATCATTTGAACTATATATTTAAAATGAATAATTAATTATTATTAATTATTCATTTTAGATAAAGTTTGCGTCTTGAATAAAAGAGACAATTTTTCATTATTATTATTATTATTATTATTATTATTATAATTATTAT